CTCCTGGCAGCGCGTGCGCGGGTTGAGTGGCGCCAGGAAGTCACCGCCCTCGTCCAACTGGGGAGGGAAGAGGGTGGGGAAGTAAAGGGCAGATAGGGAGGGTTACAACCGACAGCATACGGTGTGAATGTTGCTGTCTCCCACCGCCACCTCCTCCCAGCGCATGCGCGGGTTGAACGCCGCCAGGAAGTCATCACCCTCGTCCAACTGGTAAGGTTGGGGAGGGAGGATATGTAAGAGACAGAGGAAAGGGAAGAGGGGAAGAATATAGTGGTGCAAGGAAGCCATAGGGCTCGTTCAGCTGGGGGACGCACGGAGGTGGGAGTGAAGGGAGAGAGAGGGTGCAGAGTGAAGTCGGCACCGCACATTCTTCTTTCTGATTGCCCATCACCTCCCCACCTCGTTCCGAACCACACCAAAAGCGCACCTTCTTCTTGGTGATGAGGTAATCCATCTCCACGAGGGTGAGAGGCATGAGCTCATCGATTCATGTCACACCGCACACCTTCACCACAAAACAGTGAAGAAAAACAGTAGAAGCTAGTCGAAAATACTGGAATAGTGAGGTACATAAGCCAAGAAAGCAGCTTGGTGGGGAGAGGCGGCGAAGGAATAGAAGTGAAGGAAGGAGAGGTATGAACGACCTGCACACTTGGAAAAAAAAAATATGTAGCTGCACACATATTAAACTGCAGGACTCATCCAAATTTGTTGCCACATGGGGTTGGTTGCAGCACATGCTGCACAGTGGGAGGGAGGGATCGCACAGCACATGTACACCCTGGCTTAGGTCCAGCCCAAGCCCACTAAATGCCTTGAACGATGGAGAGAATGAACTGTTTCAGTGCGGGCACGGTGAGCCCACGTCTGAGCATGCCCTGCACGGTGGGGAAGCGTGGGTCGTCCCAGCCGGTGACACGGCCGTTGTCCACGAACCACGCGAGCTTGCGCTTGGACAGCAGCGTGTAGACGAAGTTGAGTCGCGAGAAGTCCCACACCTCCACCCGCCGCAGTCCCATGTCCTGGCATTGGTGCATTGCACAAGAGGAAGTAATATGGATCAAGGAGTGTCCTAAGGGAAGAGGGGTGCCGTGCAATCGGAAAGCAGGTGGAGCTGGCGGGAGAGCATATTGGTATGGCAGCGTATGCACGCATGGAGCTTTGAAAAGGAACATCCCTTCACATGTCAAAGACCAAGACCATGCCATTGAGATGAAGGCGGAAAGAAGGGTGGGAGGAGGAAGGGTTCCAACGAGCTTTGCTAGAAAGACCAGAGTTCAGATGATGGAGATCTTTCCAGATGCTGGATAACAAGCACACCGATTATAAAACATAGAAATCCACATGCAGGATCAATGCCACTCCTTGCTTCTCATTGCCACTCGCCACCGCTCATTACCTCCTCCCACCCCTCCCCTCCCCACCGCTCATTACCTCCTCCCACCCCTCCCCACCACTCTACACACCTCCAGCACGCGGTAGTACTCCTCGTTACGGTCGTGGTATTCACTGGAGCGTAGAGCGTGGGTGACGCCCTCTATGCTGTCCACACAGGGGCATGCAAAGTCATAGGTGGGGTATGCCTTGTACTTGGTGCCCGTGCGCAGATGGGGCAGACTTGACGTGTCCTTCTGAAATACACTGGATCGCGCAGGGTCTTGTTCACTGCCGGGGGAGATGGGAGAGATAGGCGGAAGGGAATAGGAGGAAGAGCAGGAAGAGAGAGAAGAGGAGAGACGGGAAGAGGAAGAAGATTGAGGGAGTGAGTGACGCTGGAGTTGACTCAGAATCGACCAGATTCCCAATGGTGTCCACATTTAATCGTGAAGCACGTGCAGGCTCTGGAAAGCGAGTGGGTGTCGGCGAATCTCCACCATTGGATCGACCTGATCTTCGGATACAAGCAGCGAGGCATGGTGCTGCTACTGCTCTCTCTTATTGACTCCCCCATAGCCCAGTCATCAGATCATATTCTATGCCCTTGCTTTAGTTTTGAGGCACCTCAAAAGTAGCTCGGTCATCAGATCATATGCCATGCCTTGCTCTATTTGCTGTGGCTATCTCTGCTATCCTCTCACTCGCATCCCTTTAGAAAGGTGAGCGTCTTCTGTTTCATCTCCTCACGTATGAGGCCGCAGCGGACCTCGACTCACTTAGCAGCTTGAGGTAATTAACTGTTTCACTCTGCTCCCTCACGAGGTGACTTAAGAGTCGACTCAAAATTGACCTCGACTCACTTGGCAGCTTGTGGTAATAAGCTGTTTCACTATGCTCTCTCACTTGGTAGCTTGTGGTAATCAACTGTTTCACTATGCTCTCCCACTCCATCACTCTCTCATTCACTCCGTCCCCCACTAACCCACCAGGCAGCAGAGGAAGCTGACAACCTGTTCCATCCCTTCACCTATGAAGGCGCAGTGAATTTGGACTCGCTCAGCAGCTTGTTTGGTGTGCTCAGTAGTTTTGCATCCTCACTCTCTCTCACTCCAATCCCTCCCTCGCTAAATGCCAGGCAGCAGAGGAAGCTGACAACCTGTTCCATCCCCTCACCTATGAGGGCGCAGCGGACCTTGACTCCCTCAGCAGCTTGGTGGTGAGGAGAGGCTTCGATACTCAGGTGTGCTGTGGGAAAGCAGCTCTGATGTTGAGTGAAACGATCCTGTTTTGGGGCACCTTGTAAATAGGTCAATACAAGTTAAGTCGACTGGAAACTCGTCTCATTTAACATAGATTAGCTGATACAGGTGCCACTTCAGACCATATGCCATTTTTCTGCAATCCCTGCTGAACTTACTCAGCCATGTTCCCTCTTTCTCCTCCGCCTTCCCCTCCATCCTCCCTCCTATTCTGCTTTTCCCTGAATGCCCTTGTCAGATCAACGAGTTTGGTCAAACGCCAAGGCAGCTGTTCGTCCATCCCCACCCGCAGCGCTCCCCACGCCCCACACCCAGCGTTGAGTCACTGCCATCCTGTGACCCCTCCACCTATGTCCACCTCCTCATGCGCCTCCTGATGCTGCTGCTGCTGTCCCCTCAACTACCGCTGCAGCTTCTGTGCCTGCTGCGGCTGCTGCTGATGTTTCTAGCAACACTCGTGATGCAAGTGCTAGCCATCTGTCTTCTCGTGCTTCTGGTGCTCCTACCAGCACTGGTGCTGCTCTGGTCAGCAGTGGGTCTGATGCAGCTCTTGCTGCTGATGCTCTCAGTGATGCGGCCGCTTCCACTGATACTGGATGGTCTGCGGATAATGCAGCAGCACCAGCAGCAGCAGCAGCAGCATCAGCCAGTGGTGTGCCAGCAGGAGAGGATTCAGCAGCATCTGGTGTTGCTGTGCCAAGAGCAGGTCCAGGGGCAGTAGATGCAGCTGGTGCGAGCTTCGAACCAGCTGAAACAGCCGCAACAGCAAGAGCAGCAGCAACAACAGAACAAACCGCACTGGGAGAAGCAGCATCACTAGAGCCAGCACCACCAGCACCAGCGGCTGATATTACCAGTGCAATGCGCCAGGTCAGCGCCACGTCAGACAGCACAGCTGGCGAGGCTGAGGGCAGAAGCAGCGACGTAGGTGGCATGACAATTAGTGGCAATATGGCAGAGGAAGAAGAGACGAGGAGGCTGAAGGCGCTGCCGGGGGCGGTGGGGCTGGGAAGCTTCAACGCCATGCGAGCAGCGCAGGGCAAGGATGCTTTGAGTGCCGCAGGTGGAAGGTAATCAACTGTTTCACTATGCTCTCCCACTCCATCACTCTCTCATTCACTCCGTCCCCCACTAACCCACCAGGCAGCAGAGGAAGCTGACAACCTGTTCCATCCCTTCACCTATGAAGGCGCAGTGAATTTGGACTCGCTCAGCAGCTTGTTTGGTGTGCTCAGTAGTTTTGCATCCTCACTCTCTCTCACTCCAATCCCTCCCTCGCTAAATGCCAGGCAGCAGAGGAAGCTGACAACCTGTTCCATCCCCTCACCTATGAGGGCGCAGCGGACCTTGACTCCCTCAGCAGCTTGGTGGTGAGGAGAGGCTTCGAGACTCAGGTGTGCTGTGGGAAAGCAGCTCTGATGTTGAGTGAAACGATCCTGTTTTGGGGCACCTTGTAAATAGGTCAATACAAGTTAAGTCGACTGGAAACTCGTCTCATTTAACATAGATTAGCTGATACAGGTGCCACTTCAGACCATATGCCATTTTTCTGCAATCCCTGCTGAACTTACTCAGCCATGTTCCCTCTTTCTCCTCCGCCTTCCCCTCCATCCTCCCTCCTATTCTGCTTTTCCCTGAATGCCCTTGTCAGATCAACGAGTTTGGTCAAACGCCAAGGCAGCTGTTCGTCCATCCCCACCCGCAGCGCTCCCCACGCCCCACACCCAGCGTTGAGTCACTGCCATCCTGTGACCCCTCCACCTATGTCCACCTCCTCATGCGCCTCCTGATGCTGCTGCTGCTGTCCCCTCAACTGCCGCTGCAGCTTCTGTGCCTGCTGCGGCTGCTGCTGATGTTTCTAGCAACACTCGTGATGCAAGTGCTAGCCATCTGTCTTCTCGTGCTTCTGGTGCTCCTACCAGCACTGGTGCTGCTCTGGTCAGCAGTGGGTCTGATGCAGCTCTTGCTGCTGATGCTCTCAGTGATGCGGCCGCTTCCACTGATACTGGATGGTCTGCGGATAATGCAGCAGCACCAGCAGCAGCAGCAGCAGCATCAGCCAGTGGTGTGCCAGCAGGAGAGGATTCAGCAGCATCTGGTGTTGCTGTGCCAAGAGCAGGTCCAGGGGCAGTAGATGCAGCTGGTGCGAGCTTCGAACCAGCTGAAACAGCCGCAACAGCAAGAGCAGCAGCAACAACAGAACAAACCGCACTGGGAGAAGCAGCATCACTAGAGCCAGCACCACCAGCACCAGCGGCTGATATTACCAGTGCAATGCGCCAGGTCAGCGCCACGTCAGACAGCACAGCTGGCGAGGCTGAGGGCAGAAGCAGCGACGTAGGTGGCATGACAATTAGTGGCAATATGGCAGAGGAAGACGAGACGAGGAGGCTGAAGGCGCTGCCGGGGGCGGTGGGGCTGGGAAGCTTCAACGCCATGCGAGCAGCGCAGGGCAAGGATGCTTTGAGTGCCGCAGGTGCTGCACTCAGTGCAGTGAGTGTTGTGAGTGCGGTTAGTGCTGTGGACACCATTGGAGGGGTGAGGTCCACACCAGTGGTGGCAAGAGCAGCAGCGGTGAGAGAGGAAGAGGAGATGACGGCACTGAGGGAATGGCTGGACGAGGCTGGTGTGGGGCGTGGGGGGGAAGAGCCGCCTGCCTGCTCGCCCCCCTTCTCCCCCACTGCGCCCTTCCCTGCCTTCCAGCCGTCACCTGCAGTGGATTCTTGCTCCGGTGGTAGTAGCACGGGGAAGAGCGAAGGGAGTGGCAAGGGCAGCAGCCACGGGGGCAGCAGGGGAAGCAGCAGAGTGAACGGCAAGGCGAGCGGAGCAGATGGTGGTATAGGCAGCAGCGGTGAGATGAGCAGCTTCAACAGCGGCAGTGGCAGCGGGAGGAGGAGGGCGAGAGTACGGCGAGTGAAGGCACATCGGGGGCCGGTGGTTACGGTAGCGCTGGCAGAGCATGCAGAGTCACACGGTTGCTGCTCACCACTGCGAGCGCTGATGGCATGGTGAAGGTGAGGGGCGCTCTTCGTGTGTAGGTGGTGTGAGGTGTGTGTAAGTTACATCGCGGCCCGATGGTGGCAGTGGCGCTGGTAGAGCATGCAGAGTCACGCGACCTATTGCTCACCACTGCAGGCGCGCTGATGGCATGGTGAAGGTGAAGGGGAGGTGATAGGCCTGTTGTTGGTATGATGATTCTTAAGAGCAGCTCCAGTACTGCAGAGCATGCAGAATCGCACGACTTGCTGCTCACCTCTGTAGGCGCTGATGGTATGGTGAATGTGAGGAGGCGATGATGGCATGGTGATTGTGAGTGAGACCGTGAAGGGGGGATGATGGCATGGTGAAGGTGAGGGGCGCTCTTGGTGTGTAGGTGGTGTGTGTGAGGAGGGTGAAGGCGCATCGCAGCCCGGTGGTGGCAGTGGCGCTGGCAGAGCATGCAGAGTCGCATGACCTGCTGCTTACCACAGCGGGGGCTGATGGCATGGTGAAGGTGAGGGGGAGCGCCCATGGCGTACAGTGAGGGGGGCTCTTGGCGTGTCGTGTTGGTGGTGTGGAAAGGGTTGGTGGTAGAGGCTGATGGCATGGTGAAGGTGAGGGTACTCATGGCCTGTGGCTGCTGTCGCTAACACTCAAAAGCAGCTTCACTATGGCAGAACATGCAGAGTCAGACGACGTGCTGCTCACCACTGCAAGGTGCTGATCCCATGTGAAGTGAGCTCGGGTTGATTGCTCTGCACTTTCTAGAGCCCCCCTTTCCCAACTTCTTTCCTATCCTTGGATCCTCCTTCCGTGTAATCCGCCCTCCACCAATCAGGTCTTCTCTCCCATCCCCCCCTCCTAACATCTTCCTCCGATTCTCTCTCCCCGCAATCCGCCTCCACCAATCAGGTCTTCTCGGTGGAGTCGCAACAGCAGCTGAGGTCAGCGCGAGTTGGCAGCCTCCCATTGGCCAGCATGGCGTTGCTGCCGCCCCTTCCCTCCCACTGCTACCCAGTTGAGATTCTTCCCACTTGTAACACTTCCCTCCTTTTGCCCCTTTTTGAAGGGTACGTCAATACTACTCCCACTGCTCTCTCTCCGCATATTCCTTCTTGAGCATGCTTCTGGGTATGCTCCTCCCATCCGTCCCTGTCCTAAATGATTCCACACCTCTCTTCTCCCCATGCTGCTTTTCCACGAGCCTTTCTCCTCCTCGGCTCCCCTTCGCTCTGCCTGTACCTTCTGCTGTCACCACTACCAGTCAGTGCTGCTGGGCTCCTCGGACGACCACGTGTGGCTCTACTCGCGCCTGACTTTGGCTGACCTGGCCCAGTACATGCCCTTCCCTCCTCTCCTTGCTCCGATGCCCTTGTTGCACCACCACCTCTCCCACACACCAGTCTGTGCTCTTGGGCTCATCAAACGACCACGTGTGGCTCTACTCGCCTGACTTTGGCCGATGCCTCTCCAAGGTACTCCTCCCTCCATGCTACGCTACGCTACCCATCTGCACACACTTGCACCCAATCACACACACACACGATGGCCTGGTGTCATCTGTGCAAGTAACCCTAAGAACGATGCTTGCTGTCTCTCTCCTCCCATTCCTTAACCCCCCCTGCTTCTTTCCCCTCCTCCCCTTCCCCCTTGTCCCTTTGCCGCCCCCACCCCTCCTCCTCATGCCCACCTATATGCCACATCAGATGCATGCACACGATGACACGATGTCATGCATTCAGGTCAGCCAATGGGGCGCTGACACGTGACTGGTCTCTGCATCATGGGACGGCAGTGTGAAGCAGTGGAGCATGGCGCACTCGCCCTTCCTCTCCACCTCACCTTTCTCCTCCTCCTCCTTCTCCTCCTCCTCGCCCCACTCCTATGCTGGCTCAGACACTTCAGGTCAGTCCATCCACAGTCATGCCGATTCCCATAGCGCGCCTAATCCCCTTCGCCTCCTTCGCCTCCTTCTCCTCCTCCTCCCCCCACTCCTATGCTGACTCCGACACTTCAGGTCAGTCCATACCGCTACATCTCCCCAAGATTCCACCTCTCTGTGATGGAACTCCATCAGATGAGGTTACTCTTAAGTCGACTCGACTTTTGAGTCAACTCAAAAGTCACTACGACTCCCCACGATTCCACCTTTCTGTGATGGGGATCCATCATATGACTAATTCGCGCCTGAACCGCTGCCCACTCCTTTGTCTTCCCTTCCTGTCTCCCTTATTGTGCCTTCCGTACACCTTCGTCCTCCTCCCTTCCCATCATTTACTCCCCACCACCAGTCCACCCCCCTCCTCTAGCGGAGCTCAATCAACACGACGCACCAATCACATCGCTCCAAGTGGCCATCCCTGCCACGTCAGCATGGCCCCTTGCTGACTCAGGGTCAGCCAATGGTGAGAGACTGTCAGCTCAGTGCAGAAACAAATCTAAGTGATGGCAACCGCGTTTGGGGTTGTAAGAACTTGCTTTTAAACATGGAATGCGTTCGCCATCACGTGGGCCTCGAAGGGTATTCAGTCACTCGGGCAGATGTTATCTGACTGACCTTAACTTGTGCTCTCAAACTCCTCCCTGGTATGCTTGCGTGTGCAGTGTGTTTGTCCTCATCTGCGTTTAATGACAATTTTTTTAAAACCATTTTGTGTGATTTTAAGTTGCTTGCTTCTTCAAAAATTGCTTTCTTCTTCACGCTTTCGCCCCTGAGGATTCCCCCCTCCTGTATCTCCGTCTACTCACTATGTCCAACGACCCTTCATTTCCATTTTCATCTCAAATTGGCTCAATGAGTCGATTTGAAATAGCTTACAAGTTAACTCCATTATCTCAACTCCATCCAGTCACTCTCCTTCGTACCCCCTGTCACCCCCCTCGCGTCTCTTTTGTTCCCTGAACCCATCTTTGACCCCTTGTCCGCACAATCTCCCCCCACCCTTCATAATCTTCTCTCCCATCCCTCCCCCCGCTCTCTCCGTTCTATGCACTGTGTTGCTGTGGGACATGCGAGCACCCCCCTCGGCATCTGTCCCCTGGAGCTGCCGCCTCTCCCCTCTCACCACCACGATCGCCATCATTATTCCCTCTCCCATTTTCACTCCCACAATGCTCCCTGCCCCTCCTTCAGGCGCCGTGTTGCTGTGGGACATGCGAGCGCCCCCCTCGGCATCTGTTCCCTGGAGGTGCCGCCTCTCCCCACTCACCACCGCCGCTTCAACGTTGCCACTAGCAGTGACAGGGCTGGTGTTCTCGTATGGGGGTTTGCAAGTCACTGCTGCTGACTCCACAGGGGGGCTCAGAGTGCTGGAGGTGAGGCTTTAGGGGCTTTAAGGCTCAGGGTGATAGTTTTTATGTTCTTAAAGCCCCTCAGAGTGACAGGGCTGTTATAGTCACAACAGGCTCCAATAGGCGTCAATGTGCCTAGAACCAAAGATTGAGTGCGCAGTCAGATTTCTGCACAGCGGCTTTAAACGTTCATAGCGATCTGGTCAGACCTCTAAATGACCTCATTCAACTTGGATCTGGAGCGTCGCCTACAATAGGCAATTTAGATCGCACGATTTCATCAAGAATTGACGACACAACGTCAGATTGAACGAACGGCACTATGGCAGCAACATAGTCTTAGGAACACAATTACGAACAGCTAGGAAGAGTTGCGAGTTGGGAATGACTCCCAGCTCCTACAAACCCCAAGAGCCGAGGTACAGTGATGTGGAACAGTGCCACACTGTCCCCAACCAATAAGGGTCTCGAAACTACCCTCCACAAGGGCCTACACCCATAGAAATGTTACACTACAAATTGTAATGTAACTATCTTCAATATCTTGAGGTGTACCCTTTTGGCCAGCTTCGAAATCACTTGAAGCTTGCAACCAAGGCTCGGGTTCTTCATCACAAACTCAACCTTGAGTTCTTGATGGGTCTGCTGCACACACCTGCGACACGCCGAACGTTCGACACAGGACAAAATAGAAACCGCGCACGGGACACACGACAAAATAGAAACCGCGCGCGAGACACAAATGACCGCATTAACACGCGGCTAGCGATAACTCGCTATTGACTCGACACACACACTCAACATCATGACCCATCATACACACACCATTATAAGCATGAAATATATATTTATTTCATGCACTCATACCACTCCATGCACACACGCATGCACACACACGCACACGGACAACAAGCCGAGTGCAAACCGTAGGGTTGCACCAACAAGGGCTACTGTTCTTAAAATGTAGCACAGCTCCTCACAGATGTTGACTCCTCAAAGAGTCTCACAGTGCTCGAAGGGCTTTAAGGGCCAGTCGTTTCTTACAGGGAAAATGCATTGTGCCACTGCTGCACCCCACCTACCCCATCATGCTTACAACGCAGTAAGCTTATCCTGTACTCATCCCATCCTCCCCCCTCCTCCTCTGCCACCTGGCTCTCAACATCAGATGCGCATGGGCGGTGCTGAGCTGGCGTCTCAGCACTGTCCAGGTGGCGGCCTCACGTGCTCCCAGCCTCTTGGCGATCAGTCCATTCTCGCTGGCAGGTGAGGAGAGGAGGGTGGCAGGTGAGGAGAGGAGGAAGTTGGACTAAGAAGCATCTTGGCATCGTGTCATAAGTTCCACGGTCTACAGGAGCTCTCACCAACCTATCTCACAGATTCCAAATGACATCACCTCATCTTCTTCTCTCCTCTCTCAGTTTTTGGGACCACTGTTAGGCCTCTTGCCTCGTCTTCCCTTCTCATTCCGGCATTCGGCCTCTTGCCCCATGGTCCATCCTATGCTCCTTTGAACACTCCCCCAATTTCCCACCTTCCCCTGCCCCTGCCTTCCTCCTCTCAGTGATTCGGGCGACATGATTGCATGGGCGTGGGCATCTGAGCTTGAGTCGCTTGACTCTCACTCCAATGGTGCCATGCACCACTATGCACGGAAACACGGAGGCTTCACTGGGAGTGTAGCTGCGAAGCAGCACGGTGTACAGTCTTCACCAAAAAGAGCTCAAGCCTTGAGCTTCTTTTCTGTGCCGATTAGTTCGTCTGGTGTGTCTTCTCTTGTTTCTGCAAGTGGTGTGAATAACTCGAGGGTGATAGTTGTGGGTTGTGAAGAGGGCTCTGCAAGCGTGGTAGCATAGCATGATATGGCCTGGCGGCATGTTACTACACATACCGTATCTTCCCTACCATTCCCGATATATACCGTAAGACATTGTGGGCGCACCACCTTTTACTACTGTCGGTTGTGAAGAGGGCTCGGCAAGCATGGTACGGTAGCATGAATTGGCTTGGAATCTGAGACATACATTTCTGTGTCAAAATAGTAGCACAGTCCTTAACATAGCAACCTATGGTTTAGCTAGGAGGCTTAGGTGAGGGGAGCTAGGCAAGAGAGATGGCACAAAGAGGGTTTGCACTATGAAGTGACAAGTACAAATATGGCAAGAACAATGGTGCACCACCAACAATGAAGCAATAGCTACACTACACCTGCGAATGATTATATGTAAACATATTTAAACATATGTAAATATATTTAGCAATATGTGAACATATTTTGACACGCCCCCTTAATTGTTTGCACGAGTAAGTGTACAAACGCCCCCTTACGGGGTACACCTTGCAGAGTGCACCGGAAGTAGCATGCGGTGGAAGGAGTAGGCGGCTAATGCTGCAGATGGACTCACACCACCCCCTCAACCTCCCCCCCACAGCAGCAACAGCAACAGCAGCAATGAGGAGAGAGAGGAGGAGACATGGCGGCAGTTGCTGCAGTTAAGACACCCTCCTCCCCCCCTTCCTCCCCCCACACCCCCACCAAAAATTGCTGCACGCGCAACAGGGAGAGGGAGGAGGCAGTTCGGAACGAAGCCGGATCTGACGCTGGCGCGCGTGTGGGGGTGCAGTTCATGTCCCCGAGCAGCAGCGCGGCGGGAAGCTTGCGCCGAAGGCTCGTTGGGGTCTCCACCTCGGCGTGTCGCCAGAGAGCAAGGGGTGGGAGGTGCTCGACCCGACTGCCAACAGTGTCGTCACAACGGTCGAAGCGATCTTCTACGAAAACCTGTCGATGGAGCGGTGGAAGGTAGAGTACGGGCCGGCGTCGACAAAGTCGCCATCTGCCCCACCGCCAGATTCCTCCTCGCCATTGCTTGCCGAAGTTGACGCGCCTGATGACGAGGACGTCGTCGAAGTCCCGCTCCCTCCTCCTGTTTAGCCCTCGTCGGCCGCCGGCGATGAGGGGAGCCTTGGTGCGTCGCGTGCAGCGCCGGCCGGTTACATCGCCGGTGGCCAACGTGACGCCGAGAAGGTCAGCAACGAGACGCTGCAGACGACAGGGGAGCCGTCGGCGTTGAAGCCGACTTCAGCGAAGCCGTCGGCAGAAATGCTACTTGCAGAGAAGCTGCTGGCAGAGGCGCCGAAGCAAACTGTAGAGGAGCCATCAGCAGAGGCGCCAGCTTCATAGGAGCCGGAGAAACAGATCCTGGGGGAGCCGTGGGTAGAAGAGCTGTCGACAGAGAAGCAGTCCGACGATGATTCGTCGAGCGACGACGTTGTGGAAGTCGTCGGTGCGGATGGCAGCGATGAAGGGGAGCTGTCGACAGGGGAGCAGTCCGTGGTAGAGGTCGCGGTCGAAAGGGAGAAACCGCGCCGTTCTACTCGCCCCAACATTGGCAAGCCGCCGGAGAAGCTGAGCTACCACGCTTGTCTGCCACCGACGGCCTACAGCACTCTGCTCGACGACGCAGAGGCCGACGTGCATCTGCCCGAACTCGACCCCGACATGCATGCTTACCCAGACATCGCCAACATGACGGTGAAGGAGGCCTTGGCGAGCTGGAAGGGCAAGGCGGTGAAAGCGGCCATGGACGAGGAGATCAAGAGTCTCATCTCCAACGGAACGTGGGAGCTGGTCGAGCGTCCGCGCGATGCCAACATCATGAGGAACCCCTGGGTGCTCACGACGAAGTACCACGTCGACGACACGGTCGCTCGCGAGAAGGCCTGCTTGGTGGTGAAAGGTTTCACGCAGGTTTACGGCACAGACTACGACGAGACGTATGCGCCGGTGGGGAGCTATGTAACTCTGCGAATTTTCCTCAGCATCGTAGCAGTCCTCGACCGGAACCTGATGCAGCTGCACATGAAAAATGCGTTTCTGCAGAGCAAGCTGGATCGCGTCCTCTACATGTACCAGCCCGACTACTCTTTTCAACGATGGAACTGGCCGAGTCTGCAAGCTGCTGAAGAGCTTGTACGGCCTGAAGCAGAGTCCGCTGCTGTGGTACTCGGCGCTCGACGCGGTGCTGACTGGCGCCAATTGGCAGAAGAGCCAGGTCGACGAGGCGCTGTACTTCAAGATCGGCGACGACGGAGTGGCGTGCTGGGTGCTCGTCTACGTCGACGATCTGCTCGCTGCAAGCAGCAGCACTGCGATGCTGAAGGAGCTGAAGGAGCTGCTGGAGGCTGCCTTCGAGCTGCCCCAAATCGGCCCGGTCAAGAAGTATCTCGGACTGGAAATCGTGCGCGACCGTCCTGCGAGGAAGCTGTGGCTTCACCAGCAAGTCTACGTCGACAGCTGTGCAGACGCTTCATCGATGAGGAGCAGACCGGGCGGGTTCCGAAGACGCCGGTCTCCGTCGACGCCTACGCAGAGCTGGTGTTCGACGACGAGGAGTTTCAGTCGCGCGAGGAAGCAGAGTACCGGCAGAAGGTCGGCTCACTGCAGTTCGCGGCCACCACGACGAGGCCCGACATTGCCTTCGCTTGCAGCAAGCTCGGATCCGGCCTGACTGTGCGGAGCGACAACCACTGGCGTGAGGTCGATCGCTGTCTGCACTACCTTGCTGAAACTCGTGACGCCGCTCTGGAGTTCGGCGGCGGACCCCGTAATCCCCCGTATATAGGATCCCCCCCCAGTTGTAGACCCTCGGGTCTATAATACGGCACCGGGTACTCTATTCGTATACATTTGAGTTATACCCTCCTAAATGGACCCTAACATTATAAGACCCCCCCCACATCCTAGACAAGTGCGGATTTCACAAAGATGCAAGTGAAAATGGTCAAATTCAGTGTTGATTAACAAAAATCGCACCCATGAACACACATGCACACCCACTTACCCCACTAATCCTGTCCCGCAACCCAAATCTCCACCTCGTCCCCATCATATCGCCCTTCTGCCCACCACTCATCGCCATCGTCCTCCCATCCCGCTCCACCCTCCACCTCCGCACCGCCTTCCTCCTCGCCCTCCTCATCCTCCTCATCGTCCTCCTCCTCCTCCCCCTCCTCCTCCTCCTCCTCCTCCTCCTCCTCCTCTTCCTCCTCCTCTTCCTCCTCCTCCTCCTCCTCCTCCTCGTCCTCGTCGTCCTCCTCCTCCTCCTCGTCCTCGTCCTCCTCCTCCTCCTCCTCCTCCTCCACCTCCTCCTCCTCCTCCTCCTCCTCCTCCTCCTCCTCGTCCTCCTCCTCCTCCTCCTCCTCCTCGTCCTCCTCCTCCTCAGTTGGAGAGGAGGAGGAGGCGCTGGTCTTGCTCGCAGGGGCGGCAGGATCAGGGTAGAAAGGGTTGGGGACGAGCTCGTCGAGCTCCTCCTCGCACACATCCTCCAGCACCTCCACCTCCCCCTTATCGCGGAGGTAAGCGAGGATCATTTGATCCTTGCTCCCGTCGACGGCGGTGGAGATGCCGCAGGTCACGAAGGACTTCTTGATGAGTTCTTCAGGCACTTCTGCCCATGCCTCCGCAATCCAGCAAAGGACCTTCTCTGGAGGAGGCTTCTTCAAATTCCCTGCAGAAAATGTCACGGGTATGGGCAGACGTGAGTCACCACACGGTGAAGGCACGCATTGATACAGGGATAGCTCTCATGCTCACCTGCAGGGGTGAAAGAATCAATCCCCTTATCCTGGAACCACGTGGAGTAGCGGTGGCGAACCCCGGCTTTGAAGCTGCGGTTCACCGAGACGTCCAGGGGTTGCACCAGCGAGGTGCAACCACCAGGGATCACCGCGTGTGTGAGCTTGAACACTGCTGGCGTGGTGTGCCCTCGGTAGGAGTTGAGGATGAGGGGCGCATCCTTGCGCTGCCCTTCCTCCTCGCGGTGCAGCTTCAGGACGAGAACCTTCGTTGTCCACTCCTGGACAAGGCTCTCGTCCATCCAGCCCTTTTCCTGGGCGCGCACGACAATGCCTGCACAAATAAAAAGAAACGTGAGCGGTTTTTTTCCTTGACCAGGCGACGGCAGAACACTCGGTAACTCGCAACTCACCGCGGGGGATGGGGATCTTCGGCAAGGTCTTCCGCTTGAAGACTACGAACGGAGGGAGCTTCAAGCGGTCACCGCCAGCATGACCGTGACGCGCTGCTTCTCGTACCCCGCGGTGCGCACGTGCACGGTCCGAGCGCCTTTCATCTCGAGGGTGCGCTCGGCAGGCATCTCAAGGAACAGGGGTGTCTGATCCGCATTCACAATCAGGTTGAGGTCGTATTCGTTGAGCACGCGCATCTGCCTCACAAATTCCCAGAAGGCCTGGCACTTCTCCTTGCAATCTGCATCACACGGGATAAGGGGGAGTCAGGCCAGGTGGATAGGTACCAGTTTACATCTGGAAAGATCGGGTAAGGCGTGAGGTACCTGTAGCGAGCTTCTGCCCGATCTTTGTCTTCACGCGCCGCGCCAGGGACCACCGCCTGCGGAACCGTTTTGTCCAACGGCTGGACGACGACCACTTCTTCTGGGGGTGGCGATGCTTCATGTAGGTCGCCGCCCAACTCTGGAGCAGACCGATGGAAATCGGCAGGCCTCTCCCACGGTGCAACAGGAACCTGCGATATACCGCAACCTCCATATCGGGGTGCTCGGGCTTTCGTCCCACACCAGTGAGACGTTGGCGACACCCTGCCGCTTTGGGCGAGCCGCTCCTTCATGCTGCGCCAATCGCGGATCTGCTTCGGCTGGACTTTGGCGAGCGTGGCCAAACCCCGGACGCTCATAGGGGGCTGCGCGTCAAGAAACTTGAGCCAGTAAAGCTTCTCCTTGACGGTGTAAGCTCTCCGATACTTCTCCGTTTGTCGGCGCCTTGTCTCCGGCGTCTCTGCGTCGTGCTCCCGCTTCTTCTGTCCCCGCGGTCGGCTTGTTACAGGGAACACGGGAACCTTCACCTGCGGAAGCGGACCGCGTGGGCTCCCGCTGGGCTCCTTATCTGTCGCCTCGCTGCTAGAGGCACTTGGCGTAGGCACGACGGGCCTGGGCGACGACCTAGGAACAGGAGGGTTCGGCACCTTCTTGCGGCGCTTGCGTCGAGCACCGGCCGTCCCAGTATCTGGTGAGGGTACCATGGCGGCTAAGGTGGAGCTAAAGTGGCTGCTAGCTTCGAGGCGAAATGGAACATGCAGCCATCTTCTACGAGGCAGCCAGCCGAGCACAGTATGGGGAATGAATCAGGAGGGGGAAGTGAAGAAACCCCGATGAACAAGGACATGCCTGAATACAGTGGGGGTGTCTGGAAGATCCCGCCCTTTCTAGGACCGTGCAGCCCGCACGAAGCGTGCATGGGGTGTGAAGGCCGAGGCCATCAAATGGTGCCCTGAGCTGTTGTTTGGACACCAAGTGGTGTAGGTGGCCATGAGAGGAGACTCCCACATAGGGTTCGTGATGACGTGGGTTCGGCCCGTGTGGAGACCAAATTGAGTATATTTGGCAAGAGCTAAAAACGGAGAACTTCCAAATCACTACTTTGAGCTGAAAAACTACATTTTTATATATGTCAAAATGAACAGACCCGGGTCTTCTAAAAAATACACCATGTAATTATACCCCCCAGCCTATTTAGGGGTGATTATCATAAGACCCTAGGGTCTTATATACGGGGGATTACGGTAGAGGCCAAGTGTGGAGGAGGCGGCTAATGCTGCAGATGGATTCACACCACCCTCTCAACCTCCCCCCCACAGCAGCAACAGCAACAGCAGCAATGAGGAGAGAGAGGAGGAGACATGGCGGCAATTGCTGCAGTTAAGACACCCTCCTCCCCCCCTTCCTCCCCCCACACCCCCACCAAAAATTGCTGCACGCGCAACAGGGAGAGGGAGGAGGCTGTTCGGAACGAAGCCGGATCTGACGCTGGCGCGCGTGTGGGGGTGCATTTCATGGTCCCCGAGCAGCAGCGCGGCGGGAAGCTGCCAACTGGGTCGTCACAACGGTCCAAGCGATCTTCTACGAAAACCTGTCGATGGAGCGGTGGAAGGTAGAGTACGGGCCGGCGTCGACAAAGACGCCATCCGCCCCACCGCCAGATTCAACCTCGCCATTGCTTGCCAAAGTTGACGCACCTAATGACGAGGACGTCGTCGAAGTCCCGCTCCCTCCTCCTGTTGTGCCCTCGTCGGCCGCCGGCGATGAGGGGAGCCTTGGTGCGTCGCCTGCGGCACCGGCCGGTTACATCGCCGGTGGCCAACGTGACGCTGAGAAGGTCAGCAACGGGACGTGGCAGACGACAGGGGAGCCGTCGGCGTCGAAGCCGACTTCAGCAAAGCCGTCGGCAGAAGTGCTACTTGCAGAGAAGCTGCTGGCAGAGACGCCGAAGCAGACTGTAGAGGAGCCATCACCAGAGGCGCCAGCTTCAGGGGAGCCAGAGAAACAGGTCCTGGGGGAGCCGTGGGTAGAAGAGTTGCCGACAGAGAAGCAGTCTGACGATGATTCGTCGAGCGACGACGTTGTGGAAGTCGTCGGTGCGGATGGCAGCGATGAAGGGGAGCTGTCGACAGGGGAGCAGTCCATGGTTGAGGTCACGGTCGAAAGGGAGAAACCGCGCCGTTCTACCCGCCCCAACATTGGCAAGCTGCCGGAGAAGCTGAGCTACCACGCTTGTCTGCCACCGACGGCCTACAGCACTCTGCTCGACGACGCAGAGGCCGACGTGCATCTGCCCAAACTCGACCCCGACATGCATGCTTACCCAGACATCGCCAACATGACGGTGAAGGAGGCCTTGGCGAGCTGGAAGGGCGAGGCGGTGAAAGCGGCCATGGACGAGGAGATCAAGAGTCTCATCTCCAACGGAACGTGGGAGCTGGTCGAGCGTCCGCGCGGTGTCAACATCATCAGGAACCCCTGGGTGCTCACGATGAAGTACCACATCGACGACACGGTCGCTCGCGAGAAGGCCTGCTTGGTGGTGAAAGGTTTCACGCAGGTCTACGGCGCAGATTACGACGAGACGTATGCGCCGGTGGGGAGCTACGTAACTCTGCGGATCTTCCTCAGCATCGTAGCAGTCCTCGACCTGAACCTGATGCAGCTGCACATGAAAAATGCGTTTCTGCAGAGCAAGCTGGATCGCGTCCTCTACATGTACCAGCCCGACTACTCTTTTCAACGATGGAACTGGCCGAGTCTGCAAGCTGCTGAAGAGCTTGTACGGCCTGAAGCAGAGTCCGCTGCTGTGGTACTCGGCGCTCGACGCGGTGCTGACTGGCGCCAACTGGCAGAAGAGCCAGGTCGACGAGGCGCTGTACTTCAAGATCGGCGACGACGGAGTGGCGTGCTGGGTGCTCGTCTACGTCGACGATCTGCTCGCTGCAAGCAGCAGCACTGCGATGCTGAAGGAGCTGAAGGAGCTGCTGGAGGCTGCCTTCGAGCTGCCCCAAATCGGCCCGGTCAAGAAGTATCTCGGACTGGAAATCGTGCGCGACCGTCCTGCGAGGAAGCTGTGGCTTCACCAGCAAGTCTACGTCGACAAGCTGCGCAGACGCTTCATCGACGAGGAGCAGACCGGGCGGGTTCCAAAGACGCTGGTCTCCGTCGACGCCTACGCATAGCTGGTGTTCGACGACGAGGAGTTTTAGTCGCGCGAGGAAGCAGAGTACCGGCAGAAGGTCGGCTCGCTGCAGTTCGCGGCCACCACGACGAGGCCCGACATTGCCTTCGCTTGCAGCAAGCTCGGATCCGGCCTGACTGTGCGGAGCGACAACCACTGGCGTGAGGTCGATCGCTGTCTGCACTACCTTGCTGAAACTCGTGACGCCGCTCTGGAGTTCGGCGGCGGACCAGAGTCGCTGGTCGGCTATGCATATGCAGACGACGCTGGCGACAAGCAGAATCGGAGCGGCTACATTTTCATCTTCGGAGGAGCCGCAGTTTCGTGGTCGAGCCAGCGCATCAAGTGCGCAACGCTTTCATCGTCCGAATCAGAGTACGTCGCGGCCACCGAAGCCGGCAAGGAGGCTCGCCGTCTGCGCTTCCTCCTTGCAGAATTCCGCCTGCTCGACCCAAGGAAGCCGAGTATTCTGCACGTGGACAACCAGTCGGCGATCAAAGTCGCAGAGGGCTTGGGGCTCAAGGGCAACCTCAAGCACATGGAGCGACGCTACGCATGGCTGCAGCAGATGGTGAAGCGCGGGAAAATTGCTCTGCAGTACAGCCGGCAACCTCCGAGCAGCCGGCGGATTTTCTGACGAAGGCGCTGCATTTTCCGGCTTTCAACCGGTGCTCCGTCGCAATCGGCCAAGTGCGTCTGGCCGACGTGGGCGACGGGGATGACGAGGTGCAGCAGTAGGTGCCGTGCCCTTCTGCACGGCTGGTGCGGTGATCTACGTGCTATGCGTTGGGTGCACGTAGAAGAAATATTCTCCTTGTATTCTATCCCTCTGG